AACCAGAGAGGTTATCAGAGTCGAGGGTTCGAAGCATGCCTAAATTGTCTAGGTAACCAAATGACTCCCAAACCGAGATTTGGAATCGGTTATTAAAGAATTAGTCTCGAACTGCCTTAGGGACCGAGTGAGTCCCTTCAAGGATATTGCTTGTGCTAGCTTTAAATTCCTTTCTATCGTTTTGTTTCCAGTATTTTGTCTTTTTGGTCACTTCAGTATTTTTCTTTCGCAGTTAAGAACGATTCAGCTCCTTTTTTTCGCATGACATTTCATCTAAGCTAATTTTGTGGACATCAATGGAAACTGTCGATGTGCAGTTGGTAAACGCGAATTAGGATATTGATTTGAGAAAATTTTCGTTAAAATGTTGACATGTTACTTTATTTTCCTCGTCATTTTACGTCATGTAAATGCAACAATGGCATACGGCATGGCCTCAGTAAGAGATTTTCCCGTTAAGACCGCAGTTTCGGTTACTAAGTAGTCAACTGCAGCACATTCTAATACTGTATTTCATGGTCTTTGTTTGTTTGTCCTGATGCCAACTGACTCCAACTCTCTTTTAAGAGAGTAATTATTTTAATTTGACTAAAATTAAAATTTTGGTTGTTTTGATGTGTCTTTTCCCTGAATTTAGTTAACTATTGATAAAAGAACATTGTGCGACATTTTTCTTTCAGCCAAATTCTTTCTATTCATTTTCCATGGTACCCGAGTTTTATCCCTATTCCTTTTTGGCACTATCGCTGGAAGCTCCTCATATGACCATGACAAGGGTTAACTGTAGCTGAGTTTCGAGGTATCAACCCAGTAATCGTATTGACACCCTTACGCACGCGAATGTTTCCGACAGGACTCTGTCCAACACTCATACCAAGTTAACCAAACTCACGTATCTTTCATTACTATTATCACTTTACAACTTTGTAAATATCCGTAACTTTTACCAATTGGATATGCGTGGGAAACCTACTTCCGTTTTGGGTATCTCCCCTTGTCCCAGCCCTTGATGCTTATGCACAATGTATTTTCATTAACAAGACAATAATATGATAAAAATCAGTTGTCAGACATTTTTGAAGCAAAATGACTTTCTTTTATTTTTCTTTCAAGAGATGCTTTTCCTTTACGATGGAACTGCAAGTTCCTAATTACCTGGTACGCACCTATTGTTTAGTAATTAGAACAAAAATAACAACTCTGAACTTTCTTTTCACATGAACATCATTCGGGGCCGTCAGGAACATGAACCATGCCTTTGTCTTCCCCATACGGGCTGGAAAAATAAAGGAGCAATAAGTTTCAATAATAGGGATTGGGCAAAACCATAAGTCACATACCAGAACAAAAAAGCCACCGCTTACTGGGAATTCTTCAAGAAAATGTGACGTAAAGTCTCAAATTCTAAATATCAGATGCTCTGATAAATTATATACAATACTTGAAAAATAGTGAGGAATTGATCTCTTTACAGCGGAACCAAATAAAGATTTACTTAAAATCAACGATTTAACCCTCACCTTCGCTATTTCACTTTTCAAAGCAGAATTCTTAGATCTCTCTTGTTCTAATTCAGCATGTAACTGCACCACCTACCAAGATAAACTTATATCAATAAAATGAAACAAACGTTTGATAGGTATTTTTAGTTTTCACGCGGCTTCACATGCCAAAATCAATCGGAAAATTACAATTTTCTTTAGAAGGCACAAGACCACTCATAACAATTTATTCTGAATTACTGTTGTTTTGTGTCTTTGTTGGTGTTTAACACCTTAAAGGCATAAGAGAGAATGCAGTCGTTAAATGCTGTTCTACATACACCCTAGCTTTGGCGCAAGCCTTTCTTCGCCCGCGGGAAAGTACGAGGTCTTTAGCACTAATTTCCGGCAAACCTCTCCCCGACTCATCTCAGATCTTTCAGCGGGCGGAAAAAACATGCGTGCGTCCTGCAGCGGTAATAACGTGGGACTGCTCCCAGGCTACTCATGACGTGACTGGATAACATATCACTAACGTCATTTAAAGTTACATTGTTTTTCATGTTTTCATCATATATGTAAAGTTTTTTATTTCAATATCAGATTTACCGTATTTTTACAATTCAGTGCTCAACTTCAATTAAACGTCCCTCCACCCAAAACAAAACAAAAAACAAAAAACGAAAAAAATGAAATAACAAAGAACAACAACAACAAAAAAATGAACTAATACTCCCCAGTAAGGCTCGAGCAGACGAGGCTAACAAGTAGTTTATAATATGGCACATGGACCAAACCTCTTTCTTTTGAATTGCCCGGCTTTCGCGAACAAAAATACACGGCTTATGACCGTTTCCGTGGAAACGGTTCGTGTGGCAAAATCCCGGATTTACCAATGGACTGCCTTGCCATGTAATAATCATTATGATTTCTTTAATGGGTTATATTCTTAAAGTTGACCGTCTATGGAACATTATCACATTTTGTTATTTTCGAAATAAATTTATAGCTTTCTAAAAATAATGAATGGTTAATACCCGCCCAGCCCCGAATAACCGCCCACTCTCACTGTCCAAAAAATGTTGTGGTTCTAAAAAAGCAAAGCGTCTTACTTAGTCTTGTACCTGTTCTTTCACTTCATTCAATTCTTCAATTTCAGTCAGCAACTCAGACTTTTCTTTCACTAGAGATATTTAAAATTATAATCCATCAATTATTTTTGCTCGTTCCCGTGGCCGAATATGCCCAAGCTAAATCTGGGGAGTATCCAGTGTTATGATCCATCAAATATTTTTGCCCGTGCGCGATTGGTTTCAACGCAGCACGTGACCGAATATCCTCCAGCTAAAACTGAGTCATATTCTCGAATATCACTCAAGCGATATTCCTCAATTTTCAAACCTTACGTCCATTACGATAGGTCTTCGTTTCAAATTTAAAGCACGATGAGACAGAGTTTTCTGGCTGTTACAGAAGAAGGGACGTCTTTTTTCTTTAATTAAGTCGTACCACAGAATCCTCAAAAGAAAACGTCCCACGCTGCATACAGTAAATATTTGAAGGATAATAAAGACAATAGCCTCTATTTTGAGCGAATATATGCACAGATAGAGAAAGAAGTTTGTTCGTCTTGTCACGAGCGTGAGACAAAGAAAAAATTCTGAGTCCCCATGAGGAATCGAACCTCACTCCTTCGGATTCCGCGCTCCGATGCTCTTCCACTGAGCCACAGAGACTCTATGGTGAGCAGAGCTCGTTACAAAGTTTACATATGACAAGCGTCCTGCATAATGCGAGGATGCTCTTCTTCCTCTCTATTTCTTTACCGAGCTCAAAACTTACCATCTTTCTTATTCTCTTTACAAAACATGACGCTATCGACATTGCTCAAAATATGAACTAAATTTGTCCTTGAACATCATCTATTCCCGTTACAGTTTTCCACGAGCTTTGCTCTCGGAACAGATAAAGTCCGAGGACAAATATCAGAGCATATCTTTGCGCCAAATGTAGACTATCGTTTACAAAACAATCCATAATACAATTGGACATAATATTTTAATTACTTGTAAATGTATTGCACCAGTCTGTAGATTCCCATCTAATCAAAACTACAACAAAATTCTTGAACGTGATTGGTTATCACCATCCCGATTTGAGTACTAATGGACAGTGTATGCGCAATGCTTCTAATTGGACAGTTTGATAGGAGAGTTGACAAGTCATGCCTGTGTAAGTGGACAGTGCTTATTATGTGCGCGCGCTGCTGTCGCGCAGTCCGCCGAGTTAACTGATGTTTTCTTTATGAACGTAGAACCGATGTCTACTTCCTTTTTCAAATTTCGTCAGTGTTTCATTGGTAATAAGACTTCAGGTCGTCCAATTCCGTCTGTAATCATACAAGTGATTAGTCCGAATTGGACTCCACTCAGTCCTATTACCATTATCAATTGATTTAGCCTGTCTCTGGAGTTTCTGGATTAACCTTAAAAATTCTGGACCATAAAGAAGTGTACGGTCTTGTTTAAAGCAACGAGCACAAGTTAAAAGTGAAATCAAACAATGCCCAGTTTCGTTTTCAAATTGAGAGAGATTGAGCGTATAGTTGAATGGTTTACAGTCAAGTCACCCGAGAGTCATCTCGGCCATAGTCATGTCGCCCGAAACCTGAGTCATGTTGCCCGAAATTTTAGTGACGTCGCCCGAAAAAAAAGTCAAGTCGCCCGTTTCTAACAAGAAAGGGAAACGTTGTTCGTTTCCAACAACAAAATGTGGCGTTGAGAAACTTTATCTTGGTTTCTAATACCATGAAGACTTTGACTACACACAAATCGATTGTATGATCAGAATTGAAATAGGTTTGAGTAACGACTCTAAAAAAACGTTCGTTTCTAACAACAAAATGGAGCGTTGTTTGTTTATTATGTACTCGTTTCTTACTCACGGACCTTTCGAAAGCTTGAGAAACTTTTTCTTGGTTTCTAACAAAGCCATGAAGACTTTGACTACACAGAAATCGATCATATGGTCAGGATCAAATATGTTTGAGGAACGATTCTAAAAGCGTTGTTCGTTTTCTTACAACAAAGGGAAGCGTTGTCCGCTTCCATTAAAACAAAATGCAGCGCAAGGACGTTTCGCACTCTGTCGATTCGTACTCGGTCGTTTAAAACCCTGATAGACAGATGTCAATTGTCGCGTGTGAAAGGTTAGTAAAAAGTCAAGCGAGTGACATACAAATAAAGTCCTGTTGTGTCGATTTGTGAGCTTCTTAACAATAACAAACAAATAAAAAAACCCGGGTAAACGGATGTCGACTGTCGCGTTCGACATGCAAGTAAAAAGTCAAGCGAGTAACATACAAATAGTGAAATGTCACTGAACTTCAATTTCAAGCCTTTAAATTCTCTATAAATACGATACGCACTTGCACTGTACATACCGCCGATTCTCTACGCAATAGCTGAATAAGTAGGTAGAAAGGTAGTTGAACTCGACTACAAGCGCGTCTGTTTAATGCGTTTTGCCAGACCTCAATATCATTGTTCGTACGCACAGGCTGTCCGTAGACGCTCCAAGAACTGGGGGAAAATGTAGAGCTTTTAATCCACTGCGTCGACATAAAATTTACTAGGTCTTGAAGGGCTTGGGTGGTCGCACGGAGTTCAGTCTTTGGAAAATTCCTGAAATTTCCTGGTGCGGCAGGTACGGCAGAACCATAAGGGCCGTGATGTAATGGTAGATACAGTCATCGCTGCTGTACGGCACACCGAGATCATGGTCTTGAACCTAAACAAAAAAATAGTATTTACCGGTTTTGATAAGACAATTTACATCTTGGTAATGTCTTTTCCGTCTAGATTCTGTTTCGTTTTGGATATGAATAGGCACCACAGTTTCTTTAGAAACTTAACCCCTTATTCGTCAATCACATTGCCTCCAATGAAAAGCGCACCCGGTTATCTGGACTCCGGACAGAACCTCTCTTGTCGCGGACCACATAGCTTTTTCAAAGTCAAGGACGACTTTTTGAACAGATGGGTCTCTCAGTAGTTTAGAGACAATTACTCCCAGGACCTGTACAATAAAAGGTAACGTCACTTTTGATCGACGTACACTCAGTAGGTTTTGTTATTTTGTTGAAGAAAAAAAAAAAAAACAATTTGGAAGTTGCATTCAGAACATGTCAACTACACGCTAGAATACTTAGTCATAGAGACATATATGTCAAAAACTCGCCTTCATGTAGTCTTTCTTTTTTCGAGACGACATTAGCACGTAGATCAGAGATACTTGCTTGCAACTTTCGCCAGATCTAACAAAGGCATTCATTGTTAACAGTTGAGTAAAAGAACGTCGTACGAGTTTAAAGGTGTCGTCGATGTACCATGTTTTGGCTTTTGCCTGGAGTTCAAGCTGAGCTTCAACGGCAAACACCAGGTGATGTTTGTTTCTGATTTCGATGTCAGAAGCAAGGAAATTCTCTGGTAGGGCGTCGTCGTCCAATACAAAATCGAGGTATTCGCGATCCTCCGGCCTGAGACGCTGGCACACCTTGTTAGCTGCCCTGGCGATGTAGTGTGGTTTGGTTAGCTTCCCATTGTTGTAAGAAACGAACAACGCTTTTAGAGTCGTAACTCGAACATATTTCAATTCCGACCATACGATCGATTTCTGTGTAGTCAAAGTCTTCATGGTATTCTTAGAAATCAAGATAAAGTTTCTCAAGCTTACGAAACGTCCGTGAGTAGGGAACGATTACATACTAAACGAACAACGCTTCATTTTGTTGTTAGAAACGAACAACGTTTCCCTTCGTTGTTAGGAACGAACGACGCTTTTAGAATCTTCATTTTGTTATCGGAAACGAAGAGTGCTTTAGTGATAAAAATTTATCAACTTCATTGCCTATTTCAACGTTTCCCTTTGTTGTTAGGAACGAAGAACGCTTTAAGAATCTTCATAGTGTTGTCGGTAACAAAGAGCGCTTTGGTGATAAAAAAATTCTCAACTTTATTGCCTATTTACAGTCTGAAATTCTGATCTTTTTAGTATTTGTTTCTTTGGGCGACTTGACTTTCTTTTTTCGGGCAACATAGCAAAAAATTTCGGGCAACATGACTCAGGTTTCGGGCGATATGACTTCGGGCGAGATGACTCTCGGGCAAACTTGACCAGTTACCTTTTTAATAACAGTTAAGACTCTTGTTGTAGGGGCCGTATAGACATCCAAACCAATCATATGCTAAGACATTTTGCTTTCATCAACTGAGTTGATAAAGAGATTTACAGCCGACGTTCGAGCGTTAGCCCTTCGCCATTCGATCACTCTGACGAAGGGCTAACGCTCGAAACGTCAGCTTTGAAACTCTTAACGGTGGCCAATTTACATTATCGACTCAGGTGATAAAACCAAACCATCTTGTTTTGCCCCCCACCGAGGCAGCACCACAGTTTCTATAGAAACTTAACCCCCTTATTCGTTAATCACATGCAGTTTGCAGCAGAGGAAGCCCTACGGGTTTGATTTATCACATGCTTTAAAAAGAGATCACCCCTAATCCTCCAAAAATTGTCATTGATGATGACAGTTAAACAGCCTCCTTGCAATACTTGTGGAGTTCATTTTTCTATTCTTCAGCTACATGAGCTAGTTAAGATCAGAATATTCTCATAAACTTGTCATTTGTAAAATTAGTAACTAGCAGCCATATTAATAACAAAATATTTAAAGGACTTTACTTACTTTCTGCTTGGCTGAGGATGAAACACAATTGCTTATTTCTCTTTTTCACTTGAAGCAATTCATTCTAAAAACACATACATCAAAATGGACTAAGTATCCGGAATATTAAAAAGTTTATCATGAATTAACACCAAACATCATCAATATAATTATCATAATAATATAACCACTTTCATTGTTATAATCATTTTATTATAAATGTTATAATTATAAAAGCTAAGTTTTTCGTTTGTCTCACGATGTAGTCACGTGTGATGTAGATCGCGACGTTTCGACTGCATACTGCTAGTCTTCTTCAGGCGATGAGTCGAGTTCGCCCCCAGATTGAGTCATGTCTAAATTAGTTGCTATCGAACATTGCAAACAAGTTAGAACCAAGACAACTTTTGAATTTTAATTCGTTTATCTCACGATGTCACGTGTGATATAGATATAGATATTAGAAACCAGAACAGATGAAAGATGTTTTTTCTCCTCGGAGATGACAGAGGGTTTAGTTACGAGACGTTTGGCGCGCTCGTAAAGGCACTTAACAATAGTTGGGCTTGTTGTTTACAGTTGTGTAGTTATGACCATTTGCGGGAAAAACGTTGATACCTTGCGGCCGTGCAAGCGATCAAATCGAGATTTTTTTTGGTTACGATCAACCGAAAACACCTACATTCTCTCTTCTCCAGTCTTCCTCTATACTAGGACAAATCTCGTGTCAAAGACGCCGATCCTAAAAGTCCTCGCGCGCGTGTCTTTTTACTGGCAGCCCATGACCATTTGCGGGAAAAACGTTGATACCTTGCGGCCGTGCAAGCGATCAAATCGAGATTTTTTCTGGTTATGATCTACCGAAAATACCCACATTCCCTCTTCTCAAGTCTTCCTCTATATTACGCGGGGAGTCCTAAGGTGCCTCCTCGGGTTTTTGGCCCTCTGGGGCCAAAAACCCTGCGGGGGCAATTATCATTATTACTATTATTATTATTACCATCATCATCATTATTACTACTACTATTAAAATAAACCAAGCTCTGTAACTACTTATTTTTAGCCATTGCAGTCAATTTGCTCGAAAGGACACATTATCAGAACAAGCTCAAGTACCAGCCAGAAAGAGGCCAGTGTATGCCCATGGAGATAACTTGATGAGTAGAAACCTTGAAGGGCAGAAGTAAAACAAGCTCTTATTATATTTATTACATTCATTTTAAAATCACTAGTAATCCTTGTAATCTGACTTGCTCTCAATGGTGCAATTTATTCAAGGAAAGCACCATGTTTTGCTCTAAATTACATCTTTTTCCCAGCCAATGAGGACACTTAAATAAAATGCCACAATCGATTGTTTGAAGAAACCAATCAAACTGTACGAAAATGAAAAAAAAAGAATTGAAACTTTCTACAAACCAGCTCACTATCGGATCAACAACACATTTGCACAGACTACAAAATCCTTTATCTGAGTGACTGAATTGTGCGATTTCAAAATGGATGTAATAAAGTGGTAATTGAACTTTAAGTAGTGCAATTTTGGGCTAAAATCATACTTGTGTTTTCAAATCAAATTAGTGCTACCCACTACTTTGATTTTGAAATCACGCACATGATTTCAGACCAAACTGCACTCCACTGAGTTCAATTACCACTATTTAGAGTGAGAATTTTAGGCAAGAAACCATGCAAATAAAATTCTGTATGTGCTACATTTTCACATCTGAAAAAGAGATATGTCCAATCAGCTTTGAGTATTGCAATCTTAACATATCAAAAGTATATTAACCAACCACCACCCAGAGTAGAATCACTGAGCCAATCAGAGCAAAGCACTCAAATGGCATCTGAAAAGTGCAGTGTTCAAATCAGTACCCACTCAAGCTTTCTGTTTCAAAAACATGACTTTGGCTTCCTGCTATGTTCCTCTTGCTTTACTCTTAGAAGATTTTATCAAGATGCAATGAGTAAAGCTAACATGGACATTGCTTTGGTCAAAAGTTTTTGAGTACAAAAAAAAAGAGATTGTAAATTCAGAAGTGCAAAAAAGCCTGATAAAGTTCTGTGTGCATTCTTAGTGGAGGTTAAAAAGGAAGTCAACAATCCCTTCAGCAAGTCTTACATCTCTTTCAAGGGTTGAACATTTAAGGAGGAACATACAACATTTCTACAAACAAAGTAAAATCTGTCTCTGCACAGAAAGAAGTGCTGCCATTATATAATTGAACCTGACAGTGTTTATGGACAAGCAAAGAAATTCCACTCTTTGTATTAAATCTCTATTAGTTTTCAGTTCAGTTATTCTGAATGGAAAGTGGTATTTAAACCAGTATGGGCTCTTTGTGTACTTGTTGCAAGACTGGAAACCAGATTTGGTCCTTTATTACACTCGGTCATTTGGATCAATCTTAAATTTTTCCTGTTCTGTATTATTATTCTGTTCTGCTTTAGCTATAGGTATCAGGAAAAATAAAACTGATTTCAAGTTTATGTTTAAGTCTCATTATACATATAATCAACAAATTACAGCAGTTTCAAAAGACAAGTGGTATTTAAACATATATCTCTCATTATTGACACTTAAGAATGCCATCTTAGTGCTTCATTGTAACTATAATATTTTGCTAAGAAGATTGAACTAGAAGCTTGCCATTGTAATTGATCAAGAAAAGCCCCCTAACTCATGAACTAGAAATTGGTGTTCTGCAAGGCTCTGTTCTTGGTTCAATTTTGTATTTTTTCTGCTGTATTCACTCATTTGGTTCTAATAAACTTGACCACTGTCACACTCTTCTATTTGGTGTTCCACAGTATGTTCTTAAGATGCTCCAATATATTCAAAAAGTTGCTACTCATGTAGTATCTGACTCTTGAAAATATGATCACATACATATAATATCTGACTCTCAAAAATATGACCACATATGTAATGTAATGTTGATCTTCTTTCAACTCCACTGGCTACCCATTGCTAAGTGCATTAAATTCAAAATATTCTTGCCAACCTTCAAAGCCTTGCATGATGAATCTCCAAGTCATATTTAAGACTAAGTTTCCCCCAGATCCCTACAAGAAGCCTGTGGTCATCATTTGGCCCTCTTTTAAAATGCGTTTATTATAACCTTAAATCATATGGAGCAAGATCCCTTACTGTGGATGCTCCTGAACTATGGAACAGTTTACCTCTAAATTTTTTATTACATTCTGGTATTTATTTTTTTCCAAGTCAGTGGTACACAGTAGATGGCATGACTACAGGTTTGCCCCTTAGCCAGGTGGCTCCTCAAGAGATCATAGTTTTAACACTTTTCTGTTTCCTCCCTTAATTTTTTGGAAATATACACAGTTATTTTTTTAAAATAATGGGGTCACCCAATGTGAGCCACCTTAATAACTTCATTTGCCATTTTGGTAACACGATCACGACTCCATCCATTTATTAACTCTTAAAAAATTTGTCCACTGAACAACTGAATGTTGCCTTCTTCAAACATTTTCAACTATCTCATTGAGATTTTAAGCACTATCTTTTCCTGGTATTTGCTTGTTATTCACGTTAATATTCACTGTGCAGCAGAACCGCCTATTCTGTGGGAACATGTAGATTGCTACAGATCTTTGGGAAACTTTACTATATACAAGTTTGATAGCAATATCACCATGATCAAGGTGGTGTTGCACATAGTCAGACATCAATCAAAACATTAAAACCAATAAATTCAAGTGCAGAAATTTGCTATACTTACTTTTAGATCTTCAATCATTGTGATATGTTCAGTCCTCATTTTCTTAAGCTCACTGAGTTCAAGATTTGATTTGAAAAGCTTTTCTTTAATGTGAACCATTTCTGCATGTAACTGGTCTTCATGGGCAGCTGGGAGTAGTTTCTAACATTGAAAGAACAAAAATACCAATTTCATATACCGGTACACAAAGGCCATTACATAAATTCCCAGTATATTATAACATAATACAGATTAACTAAAGCAAAAGAAGGAAAATGGAGGCATTAAGGTAAGGAATCAGTAAAAATGCAGCAAAAGAGAGGGATTTTTTCACTCTGACCTGCCAAAAAACCATGAATTCCCACATTTTTTGTTTTCTTTAATAGAATAATTATTACACACAAACCAACTTTAATGCTTTATGATTAGGTGTAGAAGTTAGAATTGTTTGTTTACTTTTCAAAGTTTAATTCTAAGCTAATGAAAATTAACACTCTATAAACCATTAGCATTTGTCATTGACCACTAAAGAGTTAAATGAGATAAACTTTGTGGAGTATATATAACAGAATATTATCTATCTAAATTCTTCAAAACAATTTTAGCTATAGCAGAATACAAATTTAAGTAATCCTTCTCATTAAGAATAGAATTGCACCACCTGTTAAATGAAAAAGTGCTTCTTATTATCTGTAAGCAAACAATTTTACATTAGGTAGAAAATGGGTGTATTGTGTGAAAGGTTTGCCAGATGCATCATTCATGGCCTTCTTTAAGAATTTTGAAGACCAGACAGACAAATGCAGTTTCAGCTTTTGTTAAGAATACAAATACTGTACAATACACACAGCTAGTGATTGGCTTCCATGATAGTTAAGAGATCAGCTTTTCATTCTCAACATTTTATATTCAGCTTGCTGAGGTACTAATCTTTTTGTAAGGGAAATTCCACAGAATACAAAATCTACCTGGATCAAAGGTAAGAGTTTCTTAACACCCTAAAGTTTAAAATAAGATTATAAGTTAACTTACTTTCCGAATCAAAACCTCTGATTTTCAAGTAAATTATTATAGGATTTAATTCAATATTCTATATCACACTGGTCACTTGTTTTTATCTCTCTCTCTTTCTCTTCTTTGTTTACTTATTTGTTCATGTGAACAAAGAATATAAAAATTGGTGCTAATTCATGGACAACATTCCTTGCCTATATATGCAAATAATAAGACTCAAAGGTGTACTAATCTTTGCAATATTTTAAACAAGCTACTCACTTTTTCTGTTAACATTTGCGTAGAGTGGTCTGGAATTCTACCTCCATTATTGGATCTGTTTGAGAGTAAGGCTGACTTCTCAGGTTTATCATTCTTCTCATTGTCGCTCTTAACCTTTGATTTGATTAATAACTAAATCTTAGACTGAAAAATAACTGACACCAATGCTAAAATACACATCTATAGGACTAAATTTACCCCCTTTGGACAAGCATGTGTCCAAAGGGATTAGTTGTGAAACACACACCCTCTTATATCAGGCACTAGGAATTCAGTGTTTCATTTTGCATCAGTTTTCACTTCAAGCGTACACCAGAGATTTTGTACTGTTTTGTTTTTCTTCCCACCCACCCTCCCACCCTGGGTGATTTTGTATGATGTTATAGGGTGGCAGAGAAGTTTATTAGGCATATCATTGGCTTTTTCTTACTCTTGGTTTGTATTCTTAATAAACTTCACACACAATAATTATTGTGTTTTATTTGTGTCAGGAGGCCTAGTTGAGGAAATGGTTTTTCATGTTTACATATGGGACTGTTGTTCTTTAACACAGTAATTTATCAAACAGTAACTGTGGGTGGCTTTATTTAGAAAAATTACTGAAACAGTGAGAATTTGAGGTCACAAACATATACACGAACACTTTCACCAACTGATTGGCAGTATACATCACTTCCTATTACTGCATGCATGCAATCCTATTTGTTCAGTAATAAAAGGGTTACTCAATTTGTAGCATTATATTTATTGAGACGCAAAAGGAATGAATTTGAAATATTACTAACATAAAGTGATGCATACCCAGAAAACCTTATTGCCTAAATGAGATAAGCAGTATGCAGTTGAATGCATCATGGTCTAGGAAATTAAGAAGTATAAGCTTATAAATTTTGATTTTCATCTTGTTATTGCCTATGAGAAAAATAGAAGTAACTTCCTCATTGTGAAAAGATGTTTTTTCATCTTGTCAAAAGCGTGGGACAAAGAAAAAGTTTTGAGTCCCCATGAGGAATTGAACCTCAGACCTTCTTATTGTTTGTGACTGCATGTGAAACTGGGTCAAAAAAGGAGTAAATTTGGTAAACAGCAAGACAACTTCTATAAACTTAGTCAATTTGCGCAAATTTGAATGTGAGGAGCAAGAGAGTTGGAGACCGAGAGACCAGGGGTATATAGATCGGTAACCAGTCAACTTGCCGACGGACCAACTCGCCGACACCAACTCGCCGACATATAAAATCGAGTAGAGACGTCAGCGAGTTGGTCGTCAATCCAATACAACTTATTAGAAGTTAAACATAAAAAACACTGGTGAACATTGGTGAACATCAAACAGAAGCTTAAACATCAGTGAAAATTGGTGAACATGTTTTCTTAAAAAATCTGAGCGATTGACATGATGAGTCTTTATGGTGTTGTTGTCGCACAATAACTCGTTCGCGCCTTAAGCTGTTCTAGTCATTGGTGATGTTCACCAATGTTCACCAATGTTTAAGCTTCTGTTTGATGTTCACCAATGTTCACCAGTGTTTTTTTACTAAATATCGTTTAATTTTCTGAATGTTTAACTTCTAATAAGTTGTATTGGATTGACGACCAACTCGCCGACGTCTCTACTTGATTTTATACGTCGGCGAGTTGGCGTCGGCGAGTTGGTCCATCGGCGAGTTGACTGTAATT